TAAAAAAAAATATTTAACATTTCCGCATCACTATGTTGTTGATATTAATATTTGCATCAATTACTTGACCGTTACATAGTCAAGTCTGATCAACTCTGTATGATTCAATTATTTTTTATAAACAATAAAAAACGAGAAAATACTAGGACTCCTTCAAGTAGTAGTCGAAATATGCTCGAATCTTAAAATTAAGATGGCAGGTTAAAAAAAAATTTAACATTTCTGCATCACTATGTTATTGATATTAATATTTTTATCAATTACTTGACAGTTACATAGTCAAGTCTTATTAACATTGTATGATTCAATTATTTTTTATAAACAATAAAAAACGAGAAAACACTAGGACTTCTCCAAGTAGTAGTCGAAATATGCTCGAATCTTAAAATTAAGATGGCAGGTTAAAAAAAAATATTTAACATTTCTGCATCACTATGTTATTGATATTAATATTTTCATCAATTACTTGACAGTTACATAGTCAAGTCTTATCAACATTGTATGATGCAATTATTTTTTATAAACAATAAAAAACGAGAAAACACTAGGACTCCTCCAAGTAGTAGTCGAAATATGCTCGAATTTTAAAATTAAGATGTCAGGTTAAAAAAAAATATTTACCATTTCTGCATCACTATGTTATTGATATTAATATTTTTATCAATTACTTGACAGTTACATAGTCAAGTTTTATCAACATTGTATGATTCAATTATTTTTTATAAACAATAAAAAACGAGAAAACACTAGGACTTCTTCAAGTAGTAGTCGAAATATGCTCGAATCTTAAAATTAAGATGGCAGGTTAAAAAAAAATATTTAACATTTCTGCATCACTATGTTATTGATATTAATATTTTCATCAATTACTTAACAGTTACATAGTCAAGTCTTATCAACATTGTATGATTCAATTATTTTTTATAAACAATAAAAGGCGAGAAAACACTGAGACTCCTCCAAGTAGTGGTCGAAATATGCTCGAATCTTAAAATTAAGATGTCAGGTTAAAAAAAAATATTTAACATTCCTGCATCACTATGTTATTAATATTAATATGTTTATGAATTACTTGACAGTTACATAGTCAAGTCTTATCAACATTGTATGATTCAATTTTTTTTTATAAACAATCAAAAACGAGAAAACACTAGGACTCCTTCAAGTAGTAGTCGAAATATGCTCGAATTTCAAAATTAAGATGTCAGGTTAAAAAAGAATATTTACCATTTCTGCATCACTATGTTATTGATATTAATATGTTTATTAATTACTTGGCAGTTACATAGTCAAGTTTTATCAACATTGTATGATTCAATTATTTTTTATAAACAATAAAAAACGAGAAAACACTAGGACTCCTCCAAGTAGTAGTCGAAATATGCTCGAATCTTAAAATTAAGATGTCAGGTTAAAATAAAATATTTAACATTTCTGCATCACTATGTTATTAATATTAATATGTTTATTAATTACTTAACAGTTACATAGTCAAGTCCGATCAACATTGTATGATTCAATTATTTTTTATAAACAATAAAAAGCGAGAAAACACTAGGACTCCTCTAAGTAGTAGTCGAAATATGCTCGAATCTTAAAATTAAGATGTCAGGTTAAAATAAAATATTTAACATTTCTGCATCACTATGTTATTAATATTAATATGTTTATTAATTACTTAACAGTTACATAGTCAAGTCCGATCAACATTGTATGATTCAATTATTTTTTATAAACAATAAAAAGCGAGAAAACACTAGGACTCCTTCAAGTAGTAGTCGAAATATGCTCGAATCTTAAAATTACGATGTCAGGTTAAAAAAAAATATTTAACATTTCTGCATCACTATGTTATTGATATTAATATGTTTATTATTACTTAACAGTTACATAGTCAAGTCCGATCAACATGTATGATTCAATTATTTTTTATAAACAATAAAAAGCGAGAAAACACTAGGACTCCTCAAGTAGTAGTCGAAATATGCTCGAATGACTGTTATATAGTCAAGTTTTATCAACATTGTATGATTCAATTATTTTTTATAAACAATAAAAAACGAGAAAACACTAGGACTCCTTCAAGTAGTAGTCGAAATATGCTCGAATCTTAAAATTACGATGTCAGGTTAAAAAAAAATATTTAACATTTCTGCATCACTATGTTATTGATATTAATATGTTTATTATTACTTGACTGTTATATAGTCAAGTTTTATCAACATTGTATGATTCAATTATTTTTTATAAACAATAAAAAACGAGAAAACACTAGGACTCCTCCAAGTAGTAGTCGAAATATGCTCGAATCTTAAAATTACGATGTCAGGTTAAAAAAAAATATTTAACATTTCTGCATCATTATGTTATTGATATTAATATTTTCATCGATTAGTTGACAGTTACATAGTCAAGTTTTATCAACATTGTATGATTCAATTATTTTTTATAAACAATAAAAAACGAGAAAATACTAGGACTCCTCCAAGTAGTAGTCGAAATATGCTCGAATCTTAAAATTAACATGTCAGCCCAGGTAGAATAATATATTGACAAGAACAGTTAAAAACTAGCCGCAAGCCAAATTTTGTCTTGCCATTCGAGACTCGCAATTGAAATATTGGCGCTAGCTTGATGCTACTTATGATAGGTTTTATAATTATTTTATGATAAAAATTATCTAGCAGCAGGCTATTTCTTTATAGTTAATTGCCAGATTCATTTTTCTCTTGCAAACTAAGCTAGACACTGGTTAAAATTGAAAGCTTTCAACCATGAGTATTATGCAGGATTGCAGCAAGCCTATTCCCTACTTACTATGCGAAGTTTGATGAAACTGTTAAATATGTCGCGAAATGCTAGGTTGATAAAATAGGTATCCATAAGCTTGATCGACATAGCTAATCGCCAGTGAGAATGTTTACTTATCTGTGAAGTTATGAACATAACCTCATAATCATTAAGTGTGAAAAAATATATTTGTCAATGAATTTCATTGTGAGTTACATCATGAATTCTAGTACAAAACGCAGATTAATATTATTGCGGGTACGTAAATTTCGAGCATTAAAAGCTCTCAGAAATTCTATAAACAACCGAGTTCTGAATGATGGTCAAGATCAAACGAATAATGAAAGTAGCTGTTTAACCTCGTCAAGAAGTGAAGTAGAAGATTGTGCGTTCAGATTCGAAGACGTTTCCAACAACAATGAAGAAGTAGCGACACACAGTAATGAAAATACAGAATTTCAAGAATCAGAAATAAATGTGAAATTAAATGAAAGTCAACATGAGTCTGTAGCAAATATAAATGAATTCAATGGTGATTGTCCAGTTAATCAACTCCCTGTTAATTCAGAAAATAACCAGCCTATAGAAATTTATCAGCTTCGATACTGGGCCATACAACATCGAGTTCCTCACGCTCATCTAGATCCTCTTTTAAAAATTCTTCGCTCAAGATTACTTCCCAGTTTACCTGCGTGTGCCAAAACATTTTTAGATACCAATAATGCTCAATATATAATAGAAGAAATGAGAGATGGTAATGGAACAATTGGAACATTTGCATATATTGGTATAGAAACTAATATTTTGCGAAGTATAAATACTGATGCTCATAAAAACTATGTTATTGAATTACAGTTCAATTGTGATGGGCTTTCTTTATCAAAATCCAGTTCTTGTCATATTTGGCCCTTATTGTGTAAAATTTATTCCAACTTAGTCAATTATGAGCCCTTTGTAGTATTATTATATTGTGGAGCATCAAAACCAATGAATGTTGAAGAATATTTAATGAAATTTATTAAAGAAATTAATTTCTTAAACAATCAAGGTATCAAAATCGACAATAATAAGTACAATATTGTAATAAAATGTTTTATATGTGATACACCTGCAAGAGCTTTTTTAAAATGTACTAAAGGACACTTGAGTCCTCATTCTTGTGAAAGATGTAACATAACTGGACAAAGTATAGGAAAAAACATGACATTTACATCTATTAATAATAGTTTGAGAACAAATCATACCTTCCGTAATTTTTTACACCCTGATCATCATCATAAAGCCTCACCATTGATGTTGATTAAACCAAAAATTAATATGATATTATCATTTGTATTAGATTTTATGCATCTTGGGTTTCTTGGAGCAAATGCAAAATTGGTCGACTACTGGTGTTCAAATAAAAAAAAACAGGCACACGTTGGACATTCTATATCAATAACATTAAGTGCAGCAAATAAACTAGAAATATCTCGTCGTCTAAAATCTATAAAACATCAAATCCCTCGCGAGTTTCAAAGACAGCTGAGAACCTTATCTGACGTTTCTAAATGGAAGGCTACTGAGCACAAATTTTTTCTTATGTATGCAGGTCCAATAGTGTTGAAAAACATTGTTCACACTAAAATATATGTCAACTTTTTACTCTTACATATCGCCTCTCGAATATTATGGTCTGAAGAAACAGCAACCAAATGTAGTCAATATGCAAAACGTTGTTTAATAATATTTTTTTTACAAGCACAAGGAATATATGGTTATGAGTTTGCTACTGTTAATATGCATCATTTGATTCATGTCTCTGATGATGTGGATAATATGAATTGTTGCTTAGCAGGAATGAATGCATTTCCTTATGAAAATCTTTTAGGAAAAATTAAAAGAATTTTAAGATCTCCGAATCGATCCATTGCACAGTTGGCTCGTAGATTACATGAAGAATCTGTAATTAGAGAGCCACCACCACTAAAGAAAAACATCGTGATTTTAAAAGAAAATAATAGTCAAATTTTGGGAATCCAATATCACGGTTGTTACTTATCGAAGACTCCACCAAATAACATTGTAATTTTGAAAAATTATATAATTTTCAAGATAAAAAAAATATTTCGGCAGAAGGGATTTATTCGTCTAAAAGGTGTATTTTGGAAAGTGAAAAATTCTGCTTATTACGATCCTATGGACTCAGGTATATTAAATATATATGAATTACATACTAAACCTTCGTCTCGAGTAACAGATATTTGTATAAATAGAGTGAAAACAAAAATAATAAAACTACGTCTGAATTTCCGACAAAATCAAAGGGAAAAAACTTTTGCAATTCCGTTATTACACGAATAACGCATTTTTTATGGATATAATTTACATATGGTACAAAGTTCAACATAAAAAATAATAATTATAAAAAAAAATATGATAAATATATTTTATTTGCCAAATATTTAATTTTTGCGGTTATGGACACTCTAGTGGGACAAATATGAACTATAGAGCTTTTGAGATCTCGGACGCCGAGTGTTGGACGCTATTGTGTGAAGCCGAGATCGACTTCCCGCGTTATTCACGGCGTTCTTTATTTAATATTCTTGATAAAATTGAATAATAATTAAAAAATTGTTGATCCTACGATGGCGAAATCAATATCTAATGATTCAGGTAAAATGTTAATGATTATTTTTACATTAAAAAACGAACTAAAGAATTATGAAACATGAATTCTATGTTGAGGTTATATTCTTAAGACAAGAAGACGTTCTCTGTACGTGATTGATAATATTTCATTGGAAATTTTTTCTGTTTATCGGTTTATCTATATCTAGATACTAAGGAAAGTGAATCGGATGATGAAGTTTATGATTTTGTTATAATTGAATTTATAAAAAGAGGTAGAAAGACAAAAAAAAAAGGTGTTCATGTTATACCATCATCATGGCTAAACTATGATGCCAAAAAAAAGCATTATACGTGCCCATTTCCTCCTGAACCATATGAAAACTTAGATGATATAGTGAAAAGAAAATCACCTCCACATAAATCCTGGAATATTTATAATGTCAAGATCAAGGGTCACGACGGTAAGCAAATTTAATAGAAAATGTATATAAATATAGTTGTAAATAATTATTTCTGTTATATTTAATTATCGTAGATAACTATAAACAAGCAAAGAAAAAAGCGCAAAAGTTACAAAGTAAAGATAATGCTTTCTCAACGGATACTGATTTTAATTCAACTGAAAAAACTGTACAACTGGAACAAGCTGTAAAAACTAAAATATTAAAAGAGAATCTAGTTGCGATGAAAAAATATATGGATACAAGTAATAACAATGAACATTCATCTAATATGGATAAAAATTCATCATCAGAACAAACGTCTTCACATGGTTAGATAATATTTATATTACGTTGTACTGAAATTAAATTATTCAACTAATTTATTCCTATATATAATATAGGTGGTTCGGATATTTCTGAAGCTGAATCTTCATCAAGTCAAGAATCATCAAAAAAAAATAAAACTAAGAAATCCAACATTAAAAAAAAATCTGTTTATCAAAAACCACTCAATAATGCTTGTGATATCATGACCGAAAATATTGAATCATCTACACCGGCTTCTTGTTCTGAGAAACAAACTGAATCTGGCCAACAATTTTTTGACCCAGCAGTTTCTATTGATGCATATATTGATAATAATGGTGCAATTGTTGTATCAGGTTCGATATATTGTTTGATACTAAATATATACATTTATTATCAGCAAAGATTAAGGTAATTAAACAAATATTTATGAAATGATTTCAGACATAAATCGACGAAGTGTAAGCAATCAAGAAAATAATCTCAAAAGTGCAACTGGATTTAGTGAAGATCGTACGTAATCGTTACCCATATATACGTTTATTTCTATATTTAGCTTTGTGATTCGGAATTCACAATATAGAACGGTTTTTTTTTCAGAATTTATACAATTGATGGAAAAATTAACCTGTTTGGAGGTTGAATCAAAAGCACAAACTACATAAATCCATCGAATTGAAAATACTCTTGAATATAAACTTGGATGTACCTCAAGTAACAGAATAGCTGATCACTTTGGGCCTGATTTTCCAATAAAAGAAATAGACAAATTACAAGAAGTCGAAAAGCAACTAGAAAGATGATAAGAACTTTAAAATAAAATTGGTACCGTAAAATTTGAATTTAAAATTATGTTAAGTCTTTAAAATAATCTTATAGAAATATTCACATTTCTTATTTTTTTTTTTCATCATGCAGAGTAATGCAATCAATTCATTGATTGATTTAGACGAGTCGTTGTCTGTAAATGCTACTGAAGTTCTTAAAAAAATCTTCAAACGAGAATTAGCAATGCAGTTTACTGCAACACGACAAATGGAAAAGAAATCAGTATTTTCTTGTGAAGCCCCCAATTTGTGTAGTTGCATCAGAGGTTAGTAATAAAATGCATTTTTATTTTACTCAGATACTCGCTTTTTTCAGTAAATAAAGGATTTTTATCAATTTTCAGATTCCTTAGCTTCTCGTTTACAAAAACTTCCAAAAAAAGTGATGTCTGCATTAGGAAATGCTTTTACTAATTCAAAGGATTGGGACGGTCATCGTGCAGATAGAATTAAAAAAGGAAAAAATACTGCTGTTGTATCCGATCCTGCTAATTCTTAGGTCTTTAAATCTTTTTTTAATACTATAATTATATTATATTATTCAATTTAATACAAAACTTTCCAATAAATAGCAAATTTGTATTCTATAATTATATATTATCAATAAACAAAAATTTCTCCTAAACTGAATTTTCTATATTGCTGATAGCTTAATTCGTTATCTTGCCTTTAGAATTATTCTCGAGGTTACTGCTAGACGTATTCCGCGTTACAAAACGATCTAGCATTCGTCTAACTTGCCTAACTTGCGCCATAATATAGTCTAACAAGGCTAGTTTGGCGCTAGCATTTTTCAAGCCTTATATTCTACCTGGGAGGTTAAAAAAAAATATTTGCCATTTCTGCATCACTATGTTATTGATATTAATATGTTTATTATTACTTGACTGTTATATAGTCAAGTTTTATCAACATTGTATGATTCAATTATTTTTTATAAACAATAAAAAACGAGAAAACACTAGGACTCCTCCAAGTAGTAGTCGAAATATGCTCGAATCTTAAAATTAAGATGTCAGGTTAAAAAAAAATATTTAACATTTCTGCATCACTATGTTATGATATTAATATGTTTATTAATTACTTGACAGTTACATAGTCAAGTCGATCAACATTGTATGATTCAATTATTTTTTATAAACAATAAAAAACGAGAAAACACTAGGACTCCTCCAAGTAGTAGTCGAAATATGCTCGAATCTTAAAATTAAGATGTCAGGTTAAAATAAAATATTTAACATTTCTGCATCACTATGTTATTAATATTAATATGTTTATTAATTACTTAACAGTTACATAGTCAAGTCCGATCAACATTGTATGATTCAATTATTTTTTATAAACAATAAAAAGCGAGAAAACACTAGGACTCCTCTAAGTAGTAGTCGAAATATGCTCGAATCTTTAAATTACGATGTCAGGTTAAAAAAAAATATTTAACATTTCTGCATCATTATGTTATTGATATTAATATTTTCATCGATTAGTTGACAGTTACATAGTCAAGTCTTATCACCATTGTATGATTCAATTATTTTTTATAAACAATAAAAAGCGAGAAAACACTAGGACTCCTTCAAGTAGTAGTCGAAATGTGCTCGAATCTTAAAATTAAGATGTCAGGTTACAAAAAAAATATTTAACATTTCTGCATCACTATGTTATTGATATTAATATGTTTATTAATTACTTGACAGTCCCATAATCAAGTCTTATTAACATTGTATGATTCAATTATTTTTAATAAACCATAGAAGGTGAGACAACTGTTTGACTCTTCTAAGGAATAATTGAAATATGTTTCTATTTTCGAATTATCAATTAGGTTAAAAAAAAATACTTAACAAATATGCATTACTATGTTTTCAATACTGATATGTTTATCGATAAATCATAGCAAATATAATTCCTTTTTATTATATCGTACCAACTTTTTTTTTTGAATCAACGATTGAAAGAAGACGAACAGTATAACTTTCCTAGGATTAAGTTAAACAATGCTTAATATTTATCGTTAAGAAATTAGACTAAAGAAAATCCAATACAATTGGAATGAATTAGAAGAGACAAATGCTGTTTATCTTTTTTTATTATTATTACTTTTGTACAATTTTTTTCTTACTTTTCTAGCATTTAACTTACTCTACTGTATTATTCTATAACAAAAACAATCATTTTAAAAAACGTAAACTACATTAATAACTATTATTTCCTCAACAGATACGCACAGTATTTCATAGTATTCCTATAATTCGGTGGATGATGGCTTATTATGGTTGGCATTTCTTGGCAGGTATCCTTGTTTATGTACTCTTTTAGTTTTTCAACATTTTCCTTCGATATTACATCTCTCTTGTCTTTTTTGGTGGTGCCAATTTCTTCAACACTATTCAGTACTCTCGCTATTCCCATTCGAGCATACTCTAAATTTTGCTGGTCGAAATATAACTCCACCGAGTTACATATTATGTAAATCCATATACATACAAAAACGCCACAATTAAATGCATCCACTTGTTTTGGAATATCCTTGGGCGCAAAAATTTGCCATTCAGGTGCATTGCTTTCGGATGATTCATCCACTAATATATTGATCATTTTCATTAGTTTCCAAACAGTATTATTTTTGGGCGTTCCATGACATGAATCCAAGTAAATCATGAACCTGGATTTGATATCAATAATCATTAGTGTCCAATGTTTAATTCCAGGTTCATGAAGAGGTAAAATTAAAAAATTTTTGTCTTTTAACTCCTGGCGCCATAAGAATTTGGAGAATCCATCTGTTAGTGAATGGTAAATTAATTGTGACGTTATTATGCTATCTAAAAGTGTGACATCCGCTCCGTTTCCTTTTGCTTCTTCAACAAAAATTGCAGCAAAACTGTTGATTACATTATCAGTCAATAATTTTTCATTGACTGATAATGTGTGGTCCAGCGATTGGAAATCAATTTTTTGAATGTTGAAATTATTCCATGATTTCTGGAGATCTGGAAAATCTGCCGGATATCCTCCTGATGTTGAAAATAATCTTTCTTGAGCTTCTTTTTGTTTAATAGCAATGTTCGTCACATGCGAAATAATTGCATTTTTAACTTTTTCGCGGTTGTGACGAAATTTGCCATAACATTTTTGTACATGTGTATGAACTGTCTTATCGCTTATTTTTAGAATATGTTTGCATATCTGGAACCATGCACCTTCAACCGTTCTGTAAGATTCATGATACAATTGTTCTAGGAGTTTATCGAGATTATTTATATCTAAACAATTGTACATGAAAATAATTGCCATTGCAATTTTTTCGATTTCGAAGGGTATTAAATCGTTTTTGAACGGCATAATAAAATTTCAACTCAAAAAAATTATTTAATGAACAAATTCACCAACACTTTTTACAAATTTTTCACGATTATTCAACAGTACCTTGCACTTTGCACAAAAGATAAATGTTTCAGCTATGTCAAAGTATGGGGTGAAACTGACCATAAACGAGTAGTATCTCCTACAGGAAGGTAAGTTTAGTTATGCAGGTAACAATAGAAACGACAATGATTGGTAATTCATTTATGGAAGGGGAACAAGTCTGTACATACTTATACATTTTTGTACATCATTATATATTATATATTAATTGTTAATAAATAATAGTAAAAATCATCTCCAAACCACGACATTTGACACAAATGCTCCTCTGGTCAATCTCAACGAGAAACCATTTTCAAAAAATTTTTTCAACTCTTTTAAAATTGATGCGTACCAGCATAGGGACTATTCACACAAAAATGCTTAAAATTTGAAATTAAAAATCGCACTAAAAAAAACGTCAACAATTTTGCATCCTAAGTCACGCATAACAATGTTCGTTCAGTATTGAACTACTTCGTGTTCAAATTTTGGGAATAAAATCCTCAAAACTTGCATATAATTACAAATGAGATACATAATTTGTCAAGGTGATTTATAGAAATTTTTTTCAACATTGAGCCTCTAAATCAAACACCTTGCTAATGACAACTCAATATTTTTATGAACGCATTAGCATTACTTGAGTTTTCAAGATATAAAAATCTAAGGACGTCTGAAACCTTCGATACCTGAGCCCGCATGGTAGTCACAGTTAGACGCTGGACCTAATGACAATTTTGATGAAGGTACTTCTCACTTTCTAGCTCTTAAGCTACGGTTTTCAGGCTTAATATTTAGTTATATTATAAATTTTTGTCCATCTTCGTCAATTAACTTTTACTACCTTCACATAAATCATTTGTTCAGTTGTCTTATGTATAAGTCTTCAGAATGATATTCGTTTTTAGCGTGTTGGTGACAGTCTACAAATGCATTTAAAGAATAACTTCGATATTACGTTGATTTTTGATTAATCTTCATCGTTATTTTCTTCTTTTTAAATACTATATTTCTTACATTAATATGTTCATTACTGACTTAAGAAAAACATAATCAATTTTGTACATATTGTATAATTTAATCATTTGTAGGTAGCGATAAACGGCTAAGAAAAGACCGGCATTCTCGTAAAATATTGAGAGGATTGACTTTGATCTTTACAATCGATAAATCAGACGAAAACATAACTTAATGATCTTGCAAGAAAGTTAGGAGTGCAAATAACGAATTTCATACAGGTCTGTAACCAAGTGTATGAAGTGTATGATTTTCAAATTTTAAAGATACCATTCTTAGAGAGGCGTTCCCTATCCTTCGTTATGAGCCATTCGCTATTCTATTGACAAATCGTAGTACACTACCGTCTTCGGCAGTTTCCGATTGGTTGATTTAAGAAGTGATGACACCCGGAAGAAAAATTGGTAGCGTCAGAGTGGGTATAAAACATCCTCAATAGACACAGTAAAATGTAGTATTTCGTTACCTATTCAGTAAGAAGCAGTAACAATGTTTTCTTCAGAAGATCGTGATGTTCCATACTTGAGAAATCGGATTTACCATAAAAATTATATATTTGAAAAAAATCCATCCTACGAAGTTAGTTCATTAGTGCCCTATCATTGTGTGGACTGTCATATTCCCTTATGGCGATGCACAATGACAGGCAAAAACTTTCTCACAAGGACACATGATCATCCACCACCGACAAATGATAGAGTGAGCATTATTGGTAAGTAAGAACAATGGTACTATCAATCTAAAAAATATTAGATAACAAATGTTTGAAATTAATGAATACAAAATCAAATTTTTTTTTTCAGATTTAACTGAAGAACGCAGAACACCAGGAATAACAGATGATCAGCAATCCATACAGCAAGAAACAGAAATCATTGGTGAGTAAATACATATAATGAACATAAATTCGTAACTTATGGAATTCGTAACATCGGTCACGATAGGACATTAAAATGTGATAAATAATATTTTAGATTTAACCGAAACATCCATTGAAATGGACCAGGAAATCGCAGCCGACAGATGCTTATGGTGCAAAGAAAATTTTGCCATTGCAGTCTTCATCCCATGTAGACATCTCGGCTTATGCTGGGAATGCATGGGAAATTTATGCTGCGATCAGATGTTAAGA